AGCCAAGGACATTGAGGATACAAATTTTGTTGACTCTAGTATCATTGATGTTGAGGATGCTGAAAGTCCTGAAGTTCATGTGTGTGAGCGCATTGGTCCTCACTCCAAACATTTTTCTACATTGTGCTTGGATAACGATATGAAAATAGAGTCATCCGAGCCGATTGAGAAGTCAAGGAATGAGGAACAAGGTGCCTATATTCTGGAATTTTTCTTACCAGAAAGACGGGACTACATACCTCATCTAAAGCCCAAGAAGTGTAGAATAGTACAATGGTTGCTTGGACCAATTAGATTTGTTCCTCCACTTCTGGAGCATAGCCGAAAACTTGATGCCAAATTGGGGGTTCAATTCATAAGCTCGAGGTGGAGGCAAAAAGTGATTCCCGTCGTGCCGCGACGTTAAATCAAGCGCTTGTTGGGAGGCAACCCAGCTTTATTGCTTTCTTTTATTTATTTTTTATTTTTATTTTTGTTAATTGTATTATTTTTGTAGTGTCAATTTTTTTTTATTTTTTAGGAGCATGGAAAGCAAAGGTATTGGAAGGATGCAACAGCAAATCAAATGGTTGGAACTAAGTGTGAGGTACCCGCACGAAGGACCAAGCTGGGGAGAAGTCTGAGTACCCCATGAGCTGTAGTGCTTCGGCCTTTGGCCTACCAGGGAGTCTCTTTTAGCCTTTTTATTAGTTATGGTGTGCATTGGGGACAATGCACAATTTTAAGTGTGTGGTGAGGAGATTGTCTGGGTGACTTTCTATGCTATTTTAGTTGAGTTAGTTTAATTAAATAATAATTTTGTTTAAAAAAAATTGGACTTTTCCCGACGATGGATCTATTAGACAATTTTCTTGAGGGATTTAAGTCTAAAAAAAAAGATTTTCTTTTGTTAGGAAGTGTAGCAAGTCCCCCTTGGTTTTTCTTTGTGCCGCGGTTCTTTTCTAAGGGTTTTATTTGAACCGGGTGTAGTTAGTTTTTTTTTTTTGGGAGTAGGAGCCATTGTGTTGTGTTTTGAATTGAAGCAATATCTCTTAACTTTGTTATGCCTTAAGAATAGTGAGTACTTTGGTTGTGACGCTTAGGCTCAGTATTTTTACTCTTGTATAAGTACCTTAAATTGTATGTTCTTAAATTTGCTTAACTGCTTTGACTAGAGTGTCTTGATGAATCCAATCCTGAGTGAGTTATGTGCCATGTATGTGTGAGGTTTGGGTGTTATTCTGTGCATTGCATTTGATGCCTAGAACTTGCCCCGTGTGTTTGCAAAGCGATATAGTAGTTTTGTTCAGTCTAGGAAGTGATATAGGCATTTCTTTGTTGAGCCAGATAAGTATATTTTACCCGCCTAATTGTTATGTATCGTAGTTAACCCATTTGAGCCTCTAATCCTATTTCTTTGGCAACCACATTACAAGTCTTACCCAATTGTTTGAATGGACTATCTATTTGAACCTTTTAACCTCTCATAAGCACTTGAATTGTGATGATTTATGTAAAAGTTAAAGTGTGGGGTGGTTGGTTTGGCTTTTGAGTGGAACTAATGGAATCAGGAGAAAGGTGCACTGTTTTGAACAAGTAAGAGCCACTTGAATTGAAAAAAAAAATATAGTTGTATGGCTGTGAAAAAAAAAAGTATTTCTTTAATACGTGGTCACTCTTGCTGTAATTGTGCTTAAAAAAGTATGGGGTAATATACATTGATGTGAAGGTGGAGATTGGTTTGACATAAGTATGGAGTTTGAATGTTAAAGTATATGTATTAAAGTGCTTAGGGAGGTGTAGTCACTCTTATATCTAAATGTATCCTACCTGTCCCGTAGCTTACATTACAACCAAATAAAGTCCTAATTGATCCTAGATTGAATGAGCTCGATTAGTGGAGTAGTACACTACGGGCAAGCCTATGGTGCATCTTTTGTGGCATATGAATGTTATTTTTGAGAGTGAGTGAATTCTTTCTATCTTGAGTTCCTAAATGTTCTTAAATTTTATTGTGTGGAACTACTCTCTTTTGTTGTGTGAGGGCACTTGATTCATGAAGGAAAGGTAATGTCAGTGACCTCTATGTTAGGGTAAGTAGGTGAGTTGTGAATAATGCGTGGTACTTGTGAGTCAAATCTTGAGGTGAAGATGTTACGCTTTTGTGCTTAGTCTATTTTAAATACTCTTGGTGTGATGAGTTAGGAGAATTATTTAAAAAGGTCGTGTCTATGAAAAAGTATAGTTTGATCGCTCGAGGACGAGCAATGATTTAAGTATGGGGTGTTGATGATAGGCTATAATTGCGTATTTTAGTCGCTTATTATACTCTAATTTACTGCACTTTAATTGAGTTTGAGCTTTAATCGCTAGTGTTTTGCACTAATGGTGTGTTTTATGCCTTGTAGGAGTGATTCCGAGCTATGTAGATGTTATGGAATGAATTCAAGTGATTTAGAGCTTTGAAGTCTGAGTAAAAGCTCAAGAAATTAAGCCGGGATCGTGTTTGGGGGTCAACGGATGATAGTTAGAGCGAACGAAGAATCGAGTAGGCATATCGCGCATTGTGTAGTAAAATAGATATAACTTTTTTCTCAGAACTCCATTTGGGCTCTACACTATATGGTTGGAAAGCTAACTCAATGGACTACAACTTTCATGTTTTACGTTTTTCCAAATTTTAAATCGAACAGGGTCAAAAACACAATTGAAACTGCGACTGCGGACCTGACGCGGACGGAGACAGAATATAATCCAACTAGCGCGGCCTTAGCGCGACCACGCTAGTCCAGACGGAAAAACAGATCTGAAGAGTACTTTAGGAAGTTCAAGACCAATCCAACTTAATTTGGACTGTCCCTTTTATCTGTTCTTTCTGTTACTTATATCTACACAAATTAATGGTATTGGAAATTTGTCATATTAACCTTTTCCGGAGTAGCACTTGCTTCATTATTCCACTATCTCCATACAAAATTGTTCATCATCCTTTTTCTCCAATCACACTATATATTCTAACAATAATAATACCTTAAAAGGTCTACATCTGAATTATTTGTTGTCATTATTCGTGTCGATGATACAATTAAGTAAATAAAAGTATGATATCTCTAATAGTTACTGGTCGAATTAATTCGACCAGTAAATTTTGAATATTATACGATTAGGTGATCTTTTGTGACATATTTTGAAGGAAAATTAAACATGAAATTACAGATACAGATCTAAAATTTGAAGTCAGTTTGTGTTGAGTTTCACTACTCTTAACAGTTCCGCTGTGCAAACGAGTAATGACTTGTATAAATGTACATTTTAAAATATTCTTTAACATATAGTTCGAGCAGAAAGTAGCTATAATGCTCTCGTCCACAGTTGAAGAGTTGCATATGTGACCATATGCAGTGGCGAAGCCAGGACTTTAACTAAAGAGGTCAAAATATAAAGAAATAGACCCAAGAAGAAGCCAATGGGTGTCAATATATGGTAGAGTTTTCAGCTGTTTATTTATTTTCAGTTTTAGTCGCAATCTTTATAATTTAGAAAATTGTTCAATCTTGTCTTCTTGGTGATAATAAACAGATACAACTAAGCCTTAGTTCTCTGTGGGATTCGACTCCGGACTTTTAGACCGGATTATATTTGCAGCGACCGCTTATCCTTTTTAGGACTAGAGTTGGGCATGATCAGCTACCATGTCTATGTGGAGCTAAATTTCACGTTCTTAGAGTTAAGGTTCTTTTATGACTATTGTTAATTGGAAGTTGATTTTAGTTTTTTGATTTATCATATTGGTTTATTTATTCAATCTTGCACTCAATTATTTGCTTGTTTGATCATCAATCGAATAATATCTATGAATCTAGAATTAAACTCGAAAGTGAAAATTCTAGATTGCACATAGGATTGAGTAGAGCAAGTTCTTGAACCTGGGCATCTGAGAATGGATTCACGGTTATGATAGACATAAAGTAATTGCCTTATTTGGTTATTACGGGAATTATGAATACATTCTTGTTGATTCTAACTCAATAGATATATATGCATTAGATTAGCTTGAATAGACGAGTAAGAACTCGATAAATACTTATGAGCAATGTTAACCATGTCAACTAATAAACCAGATAAATTAATTGATCAATTTAAATGAAGAATACAATAGGATTATTAGATAGCTCATAACTCTAGACTGTTTTTATCAACTTGATAATATAAAAATATGCTCTTCTTTTATTTAGAATTCATTAGTGTTTTCTTTTTAGTTTGATTAGTTTAGCATTACCGCTATTGAGTTTAATTTTTGTTTAGGCAATTAGGATAGTATAATTTAGTTAATAATTGAAAACAAGTCCTTGTAGATTCGATATCTGACTTCTAGTTATTTTATTACTTGATGACTGCGTATACTTGCGTGTGTGTTTAGCCGCAACAAGTTTTGACGCTGTTGCCGAGAGGACTATTTGTTATCTTAGTTAGTGTAATATGGAGCAGTATACACTTATTACCATCTTGAGTATAAAGAGAGATTGCTCCAAAATTTGTTGCAAGATAATATTATTATTTTGTAAACTTAGTGGAAGATGTTTAAAAAAAGATCAATATAAATTAAAATAGATCAATATAAATTAAAATAGAAAAAAGCAAACAAAAACTTATGGCCTTATGTATCGTTGAAACCGAAGAACAATATGCCTCAACGAAACAAAATAACAGAACATTATCGTCTACAATTTTTAATTACTTTTTCAGTTTAGCTATTTACAGAAAATATAATATGAAATGAATGCATTGTGATTTTTTTCATTTTTCTTATCACATAGAATGGACATTAGAGGTTGGAAACCAAGATTAAAAGAACAATAAAGAAAGAAAAAGAACATGTAACTATTTGCTAGCTAGAAACAGGGCAAGTATCTTGGTTGCTTTCTAGTGAACCTACAACGCACGAAACAAATTTGTGGTTAAAGTTAGATTACGGTTTCCTTTTTGTCATGCAATGCAAATAATTGCGGTCGAACGTCTCCTTTAGTTTGTGCGGTGAAGCTTTTCCGAATACGTGCCAACACACAAAATCAGCTCCAGGTATGACGTTTGTTTTCTATATACATTTGTCTCCAAATATATTATACCCAATTCTTGATTTCTTCTGAATACTCCTTGCTCAAATAAAAATGGATCTCCCCTTTTATACTCTTATATTTTCTCTGTTTGTTTTCATTTTCTTCCTCCATCAATGGTTCTTTCCTACTTCAAACACCCAAAAAAGGTTACCCCCATCTCCAAGAAAGCTTCCAATCATAGGAAATTTGCACCAACTTGGGTCGCACCCTCACCGTTCACTTCACAAATTATCAGAAAAATATGGTCCAGTTATGCTACTTCACTTTGGCAGTAAGCCAGTGGTTGTTGCTTCCTCTGTTGATGCTGCTCGTGATATTATGAAAACCCACGACCTCGTCTGGTCAAACAGACCTAAATCTAAAATGGCTGATAAAATCTTTTATGGTTCGAAGGATGTGGCCTTTAGTCCGTATGGTGAATATTGGAGGCAAGTTAGAAGTATTACTGTGCTTCACCTTCTTAGCAACAAAAGAGTCCAATCTTTTCGTGATGTCAGGGAAGAAGAAATATCAAACATGATTGAAAAAATCAGGCAAGAGTGTGATTCGAGTTCAGTGATAAACTTAAGAGATCATTTATGTTCTCTAACTGAAAAAGTAATTAGCAGAGTGGCCTTAGGGAGGAAATATAATGAAGGGGGAAAAGGAATCAATGCTAAGGCCGTCCTAGATGAATTTGGTGATATTTTGGGTACGTTCAACGTCGGGGATTATATTCCGTGGCTTGAATGGGTCAATAAAATCAATGGTCTGGACACCAAAGTGGATAAAGTAGCTAAGGAGTTGGATACATTTTTGGAGAATGTGATTGAAGAACATATCAAAAAAGGAGAATACGGTGCGGGTGAAGCTAAAGACTTAGTGGATGTTTTGTTGGAAATTCGGAATGGAAATGAAAAAGGCTTTCCTCTTCAAAGGGATTCATTGAAAGCTCTTCTCTTGGTAAGAACCAAGTTTTATGCCCATGATGGTTGACTAATATGCCTAATTTCAATGTAACATAACATAACTGTTGCTTAATTTGTTTTTTGTGTTTCTTCTTTAATTCATAGGTTATATTTGCTGCTGGTACGGATACAACATATACAGCTTTAGAGTGGATAATGATAGAGCTTTTGAGGCATCCAAGAGCAATGGAAAAGTTACAGAATGAAGTGCGACAATTAGCCCAAGGGAAATCAGAGATAACAGAGGATGACTTAGGAAATATGCAGTATCTTAAAGCAGTAATCAAAGAAACTCTAAGACTCCATCCGCCGGTTCCACTACTAGTCCCTCGAGAATCAATGGAAGACGTAAAATTGCTAGGCTACCACATACCTGCTAAAACTCAAGTCTTTATCAATGCTTGGACAATTGGAAGAGATCCTTTATCGTGGGATAATCCGGAGGAGTACCGACCAGAGAGGTTCTTGGATAGTAATATTGATGTCAAAGGACTAAATTTTGAGTTGATTCCCTTTGGTGCAGGCAGGAGGGGCTGTCCAGGAATTGCTTTTGCTATTATTGTAAATGAGCTAGCTATTGCGAGGCTTGTGCACAAGTTCAATTTTGCATTACCAGAAGGGATAAAAGGGGAGGATTTGGATATGACTGAAGGCACTGGCATCACTATTCGTAGGAAGTCACCTTTGCTAGCAGTGGCCACTCCTTGCTCTAGTTAGGAGTGTTTTTCCTCCATTTCTTACTATCACTAATTCTACATATCCACCAGTATAAGCGATGGAACATAGTTCCCATCATCGCTATGGCTAATTGTAACTTTACAATTTGTATTAAGCCTACTGGTTGGACTCCCCTTTTCAGTGTTTATACATATGTTTTATTTTCTTGTATGCATGATTTCTTGTTCTATATTTTTTTTTTTGGGCCGAAAATCGCCTTGTGGTGCCGAGGATTTGGCCTATATTAAGCTTATTAGTGCTCCACTCCTTTCCTTCAAAGAATTCTATTACCATTTGTCTCCTTTTCCGGGCCAATTATCCCACCAAAAGGATGAGTTTCCCATGTTAATCCTCCATAATATGGAGCTTCAGCATTAAATTCAGTCTTCTTAAATTTGGGTTGTAAAGATTACAAAAACTTAAGGCACAAAAAAATTCATTTGCTAGAAAGTTTATGCATTATTATCAGTTTGACATCCTTAAATGAGAAAAACTTTAATCAGCCATAGCTCTTTAAGGTGACAAATGAGTGGTGTACAGGTCAGGTATTCAAAAGACAAATCAATTCTCTTCAAAATTAAAGAGATGATTTAAATTAGACACAGTATCTCCTTTTTTAATCACAACTAGTATTTAGAGTACGTGCGTTGCGAGTGTACCCCATCTCAATAAGTAGTTAAAAAAATATATTAAAGCTGTATTAAAAATATGGTCCAATTATAAAAATGTGTAAGTTCCTGAAGAATATCCGTCTTATGTAGCTAACTTAATAAATGGAACAAACTATGTATTAAAAAATCTTTTGATCTTTTAGAGATTTGGGAATGGAGAGGTTGGCCATATGACACATGGAAAAAACCGATAAATAATAAGGTAAAGTATCAAAATATCTATTCCCTCCGTTCCAATTTATGTGAACCTGTTTGACTGGGCACAGAGTTTAAGAAAAAATGAAGACTTTTAGAATTTGTGGTCCTATACAAGTTAAAAAGGGGGCACAGAGTATTTGTGAGGTTATAAAAGCTTCTCATTAAGGGTAGAATTGTGAGTTTAAGCTAAATTGTTTCCAAATTTAAAAAGAGGTCATTCTTTTTGAAGCGGGCCAAAAAGGAAATAGGTTCACATAAATTGGAACGAATGGAGTAATATTGATATTTTGTTTCTTTAACTATTTCATCCATATTTCTTCAAGTTTCTGAGTCTTAATATTGTACTAAGAATTTTGTCAACTTGAAAAATAATTCTATTTGTATGATGAATTTGAAAAATAACAGAATTGGATTCTTTTTTCTAAAAATTCCTTGTTCTTACTACTAAAAAAATTATCTTTTGTGATTCAAATATTTAGTATTTAACTGTAATATTATTTTATCAACTGAGAGTTCTCTTTTTAAAGGCTAAAAAAGTTAATGCCTATGTCTTGAATCCTTGTGTTATACATAGGACAACAAACATGTAAAAGTGGATACTCTATTTCATATTTAGCGGTGTCTAATGGTCAAAATTTTATTGTTAATTTAATTACTTTAAATTATGTTCATTACTTCTATTATTATGACAAAAATGAGAGTGTCTTTGTAACGACCCGGCCGGTCGTTTCATGAGTTTCAGCCACGTTTTCCCCGTTTCTGCTTCTTTATGTGTTGTTCAGTTGTATTTCATCGTATCGTGTTGGTTGTTTTCTGTTCGGAGTGGTCTTGGAGTGGAATGAGACACTTAGTCTCTTATTCGAAAGCTTAAGTTGGAAAAGTCGACCGGATGTTGACTTATGTGTAGAAGGTCTCGAATGTGAATTCTGATGGTTCGGATAGCTTCGTTAGGTGATTTTGGACTTAGGAGCGTGTTCGGAATGTAATTTGGAGGTCCATGGTAGATTTAGGCTTGAATTGGCGAAATTGGAAACTTGGCGTTTTCCGGTTGGCAGTGGAAATCTTGATATCGGGGTCGGAACGGAATTTCGAAAATTTGAATAGGTCCGTTGTGTCATTTTGTGACGTGTGCGCAAAATTTCAGGTCATTCAGATGAGGTTTGATAGGTTTTGGCATCGTTTGCGGAATTCGAAAGTTTGGAAATCCTTAGGTTTAAATCCGAGGGTGATTTGGTGTTTTGATGTTGTTTTGAGTGTTCCGAAGGTTTGAATAAGTCTGAATGGTGTTATGTGACTCGTTCGTTTATTTGGTTGAGGTACTGAGGGCCTCGGGTTGGTTTCGGGAGGTTGACGGATCAAGGATGGGATTTGAGGAAGTACTGAAGAATTCCTTCAGCTGTCATAACCGCACCTGCGGAGTGGGGACCGCAGGTGCGAGGTCCGCAGAAGCGCAAGAGCAACCGCAGAAGCGGTTAAGGCCAAGGAAGCCAAGATCCGCAGATGCGGGAGGAGGAGCGCACCTGCGTGACCGTAGGTGCGAGTATTAGGCCTCAGGTGCGGCTAAGGCCGGATAAGTGAAACCGCAGTTGCGGTTGGTTTGACCGCAGAAGCGGTCCCGCAGGCGCGGGTAATGGACCGCAGGTGCGAGTCTCCTAGGCAGAAACTATAAAAGCCACCCTTCGCAAATTTCTGCCATTTCTTCACCATTTTTGGACGAGTTTGGAGCTTAGGGCTGTGATTTCAAGAGGGAATTAAGTGTTTTCAGTGAGGTAAGCTATTTGGGCTTTGTATTTTATGTTTGTGATGATTTTTCCACTACCTAATCATGAAATTAGTGGGGAATTTGGAGTGAAGTTGAAGGTTAGGGCTTGAGTTTTGGAGAGCTTTGATTGGGGATTTGAGGGACCATTTGGGTCGATTTTGATGATTTTGGTATGTATAGACTCGGGAGCGAAAGAAGTTTCTAGTTTTGCAATTTTTGTTAGATTCCGAGACGTAGGCCCGGGGGGCCGGGTTTGAGTCCAATTCGGGATTTTTGGTCTAATTTGATTATTTTCGTGTGGAATTCATTCCTTTAGCGTATATTGATGATAACATACTGATTTTGGGTAGATTCGGAGCATTTGGAGGCCGGATCGAGAGGCAAGGGCACCGCAGGTTAGAGCTTTAACTTGGTTTGAGGTAAGTAACGCTTCCAAACTTGGTTCTGAGGGTTCGAAACCCAAACTATGTGTTCTATGATTAAATATTGAGGTGACACAAATGCCAAGTGACGGGTGTGTGGGCGTGCACCGTGAGAATTGCGGCCTGGATCATTCCATGGCACCGCTTAGTGACTCTTTCTTGCAGATACCTGTGTAGTGGTTATGTGATTAAGCTAATGAGCTGTAAATCATGCTAATTATCATGTTAAGGGTTCTCGCCAATACTGTTGAGACCTGAGAGATCGTTTCTTGCTGTCATATCATTAGCTTCATTGGTATTCTGTACTCAGTCTTGTTCATGCATATTATATCATGTCTCAATCTCGGTTATTGTTATTTGGCACATTATGTCATTGTTTTGGGCTAGTTTCTCGGTATTGTGAGCCCGTGTGTGAGACTAGAGAGTTATGACTGAGTGAGGCCGAGAACCTAAATTTGAGTCACAGTATGGGATCGGGCTGCACGCCGCAGCAGATTATTGATTATGCCTTCGGTGGCTGGTTATAGCGCTTGGGCTGAAAGGAGCCCCTCCGGAGTCTATACACCCCTAGTGAGCGCGAATGATATTATTGAGGGATGGATTTACCTGGACATGGATTTGTCCGAAGTACTGATACCCGGAGATGGATTTCTCCTTAGGGTTGGATTACCCTTGTTCCTCGGTACCGGTTGACTTGAGGTCAGTGTTGTATATATATTCCGGGATGGATTTCCCTGGGCCGGATGGCCATATGCGGTACCGAGCGGTTGAGCACTTGAGAGTGGGAGCACACGGTGCATTTTCATACATTTCTAGCGTTGACCTGTAGAGTTTTACTGAGCTTTATACTTCACATTGTTCGGATTTGCACTTTTCTTTACTGTCAAGTTAAACATATTGAATTGCCAGCATGCCTACTTTTCTGTACAATTTAAATGTGTTATAATTGCTGAGGTTTAGTTCGTCACTACCTATCAGTCCATTGTTTGGACTTGTTACTTACTGAGTTGGTGTACTCACGTTAGCCCCTGCACCTTGTGTGCAGATCCAGGTATCACAGACCATGGTAGCGGCTGTTGACTGTTCCAGACGCAGATTTCACCGGAGATAGCGAGGTAGCTGCCTGACGTTCGCAGTCCCGCCTTCCTCCTTCTTTATCTTCCTTCTAGTATATTTTGGATATTTCAGACTATTTTGGTCTAGTTGTGTTTCGGAACAAATATAGTATTGCTCATGACTTAGTGACACCCGAGGTCGGGCTGTTATTTTTCCTCTTTTGTTTTGGTTTTGACTTTATATCTTTTACAGAATTTCAGTTGAAAATGGTATTATTTAAGCTTTAAATGAAATGTTGAATTATTTTGGAAAAGTGTCGGCTGGCCTAGTTTCACGATAGGCGCCATCACGACCAGGCCAGACATGCACCGACCTTGGTTTCTACTGTTCGGGAGAGAGTCCGCCGGTTTATTGAGGGACTACATCCCAGTATCAGGACTAGCATGGTCCGGGAGTTGGAGATAGATATTTCGTATCAGCAGACCGTGAGTACTGCTAGAAGGGTGGAGGGCATGCTGGCCTGAGAGCGAGAGGAGAGAGAGGTCAGGTGGGGCCATGAGAGAGAGGACAGGTGAGCTCAGGAGAGAGAGTACAGGGAGGCGAGGGAGCCTCGTAGACCGGGGAGATCCGCTAGTCCTTATTATGGAGGCAGGGTGCGACATGGTAGAGGTTTTGTGGGTCAGCCAGTTTAGTTTGCGCTTCAGGCTTCGCACAGTGATACAGATGTTCATAAATCTCGGAGTACCCGTACCGCACAGTTCCCACAGCCTCGTCAGCAGAGAGGTTGCTTTGAGTGTGGAGATACTAGCCATATGGTGAGAGATTGTCCTAGACTTCGGGCCGATGTGCCACAGCAAGGTATTCATGCGGGTAGAGGGCGCCCAAGAGGGGGAGGCCCGGCCCGTTGATGTGTTTTTATGGTAGGCTTGAGGCTGCTGCGCCAGATGATGTCATTCAGGTATGATTTCGATTTGTTATAGAGGAGCACCATCTGTAGTTCATTACAGTTCTGCTTATCGGGGCGAGTTCCCCTATTTACTGCTCCACTTATGAGTGCGATTCATGATTTGCACTCTGTTATATTTTGCCCTTTTAGGGAGGTTCTATGAGTGATAGACCGTGTCTATCGTCTGTTTCTATTCCTTATTGAGAGTTATGATACTAGTAGTGAATTCCTATTGTCCATTACGGT